TTGGCTGGAAGTCAGTCACCGGGGTGTGTAGTGTATGCTGCTCCCTCTGATTCTGCCCTTCCTTCAGGCTCGTGTCTGTGAGGGGATTGTTTAAAGAGGCGTTTTAAACCGTTAAAGAGTTCACCTTCACTGACAGCGGCCGGGGGCCTGCGTCAGGATTCCCACAGGCTGACCTCAGTAAATAGATGGCCTGAACTGGACTTGGGGAAACCAGGCGGCCAGAGTTCTTCTTGTGCAGGACTTAGCGTTCCCATCAGAAGAATGGGCGTGAACCCAGCGGCCTCTCATTTGAGAACACTCCCTTTCTGATGAGGCTGTGACCCTGTGGGGGCTGGAACTCGGCAGCACTGCCGCTTTTCTCCTCTTCGGCCAACTGCGGCCTCCACGTTGCTGGCCGGCACACTCTGTTTAGTGGTAGATGTCTGTGCTTGTCTTCAGACAGGTCAGTGTGTGAGGACGTTCAGTGCGGGGACTTGACGGGGATTGGGCAGACTCCTCACAGGAGATGGTGCAGACAGGCCTGGGTGAGAGCAGGCAGGAGGGACGGAGCCCAGAGAGGGAGGACACTGCCAGCCTGCTGTGACACCCTTCCCACTCTCCTCCCACCCTCCACCCCCATCTCTGGGATCAGGCAGGACCTGAGAACACGTGGCCAGTCGGCCCTGGACACAGCGCAGTGCTGAGTGTGGTGAGGGCCGATGGAAGGTTCTGGCACTGCGTGAGCCTCGGGGGCTACCACGGCAGTCCTCACACCTGGTGTCCAGATGAGGGAAGTTTATTCTTGCAGTTCTAGAGACCTGAAGTCCCAGATCCCAGCCCACTGTGCACTCCCAGGCCCTAGACCGCAGGTCCTACACAGGAGACCATTCTTACCTCTTCCAGCCTCTGGGGATGGTTGGCTTCCTTGACTGGGCCACAACACATCCTCTGTATCTGTCATCCTTAGGCATCTCTTTCAAGGACACCCACCGTTGGGGTTAGGGGTGGTCCCTCCCCTCAGGATCCTTGCACAGACCCCTCTCCAGAGAAGCCACACGCACAGGCTTTGGGCATTAGGGTGTGCGTGGTAGATCTTTCTGGGGCCTGTCCTTCAACACCCTGTCATTTCCAGGGTAGTAGAACCCCCTGTGACATGGCAGCTGGTGAATTGATAGTTATGTGGGTCTCCGCTTAAGTCTTGTTTCATAGACAGCTGTCTGCCCATGGGCCCCTGCCTGACCAAGGGCCTGAAAACCCATCTTCTTGAGGGGTGTGGGGGCTCTGTGCCCTCATGGGCTGAAAACACTGACGTGCACCCTGACACGAGTGAGTGGTGGGAGTCTCAGCTCCCTGAGGAGTGACTCCTGGAGCTCTGGGGGCCTCGGTGAATCCAGGAAAGGCCACTGTGCTGGGTCTGGTTACAGAGGACTTGTCAGATTTGGAGGGACCTCCTGCCTACCAGAACACAAGCATAGAGTGAGTCCCTTGAACCTGGGGTTCCTGCGCTGAGAAACTTCTAGACCCAGGGGAAGATTGATGTGAGATTGGTGGGGCTCCCAGAGGAAGCCCTCCCAAGTGAAACACAAACTGGGACCTTTCCCAGACCTGGCACCCTAAACTGGGCTTCTGGCTTCCTCACTTGTAAGAGTGTTTCTGCTGGATGATGTTGTTGTTATGTACTGTCGAGTCACTTGCAATTCATAGCGACCCTGTGTACAAAAGCTCTAAACTCTGCTTTGTCCTGTGCCAGTCTCACCATCTCCGACACACTCATCCCAATTACCCCAGTCGCTGAATCAATCCACCTCATAGAGGGCCTTCCTCTCCTGCGCTGTCCCTCCACCTTTCCAAGCATGATGTCCCTCTCCAAGGACCAGTCTCTCCTTATAATATGACCAAAGTATAGATTAAAAAAAAGTGAGTGCAAAGAGCTCCGCCCTGTTTCCAGGTGAGGACCAAGGCTGAGCCGAGGCTTGGTCGCCGGGATTACTCGACTCTTCTCACACGAGGAAGGGCGTTGGCCTTGAAGCCTTGATGTTGGCATCGGCCCTGATGGGAGTCAGTGGAGCAGATGTGGGTGGTGAGCCCCTGCTGGCCTTCCGGACGTGTTGACACTCTCCAGTCATTTGTGTGAGTCCACTGCAGAACCCTGTGATGTCACTGTCGTTGTTAGGGTCAGGATAAGAGCAGTGTTGTGAGGGTCACGATGAGCGCTGTCTGGGAAAGTGAGGGCTCAGCAGGAAGCAGGGAGCAGCAGGGTTAGGGGCACGTCAGGTGGGTACAGATGGAGGAGCCAGGCGCTGGCCAGCTCAGTGCAGAACCTCTCAGTGAGAACTGTCTGGTTTGGGACATTCCCGCTGGACACCCCAGCCTCACCCCATCACCTGCTGCCCAGAGTGGAGTGTGTGCTGGCCCCTGGCCTTCAACCCTCGACCTGAGTAGAAAGGCCCACCTGAGCCAGTCCAGTGTTTGTGGCTTTGTTTTGAGCAAAACCTCTGTTCTGACTCCTAGCAGTCGCGTCGATGTGGGCTTCCGAGTCTCCTGCAGCAAACAGGGCAGGTCAGACCCTTGTTAAGGTCGAGGGCACCTCACAGCGACCGTCTGTACAGAAGCCAGCCGCCTCTTTCTCCCCCAGGGTGTCCTTCCCCGGGCAGCCCAAGCCCTGTCCACGGCACCACCAGGGCCCCTTCTGGGAACGGGCTGCTGACCTGAGGCCTGCCGCCATGGTGCTGCTAATACTAATGCTTTTCAGGTTAAATAACATTTTCTGTTTCCGGTGAAGAGAGCTGTCTATCCTGGCGTGGTAGGGAGTAAGGCCATGACCCCTTTGGAGTTGGCGGGTGTTGACATGAGGCAGGCAGCCTTCCAGAAACTTTATCCTGCTGTAGCCACGTTAGTGCCCTGTGAATGCTGCGGCCACGCCACGTTGTCTCTGATTGTGAGACTGTGGGTGTCCTTGCCGAAACGCAGGGAAGTGACTTCACCAGATTGCCTGGTGGCTGAGAGGTTGTCCCCACAGTGAGGGACGGAGACGTGAACGTGCCAGCTCGGGAACCTCCCCTGTGAAGACGTCCACCTCCCAGCTTCCGCTCTTCTCCCTGACTGGACCTCTCTAGGACAAGGTGGCCCTTGAGGGCCGTTCTGAGGTTCACCGTGATCATGACGTCGGGCCAAGCTTGCGGGGACAGGTGGGGCCCGGTGAGCGCTGGCCTCAGCGTGTCCACATGAGGCTCTACTCGTGTATGTGACTCCATCCGAGCCCCTGGCGACAGCGGGGGTCTGCCGAGGCCTCTGATGGACCCCACACTGGCTTTCCTACTCGCACTGGTCCTTTTGATCGCGGCCCCTCTTCTCCCACGCGGGATGTGTGGCGCTCAGCTGCTGTTTCTCTGTGGGGACCGCGCTCCCTCCGACACCCTGCAGGTCTGAGTGCACAGCAGCTGTCAGGGTGTTGCGAGAGCTCATTCACGCGGCCCTGGCTCTGCTGTGACCTGGAGGGTGGGGGGGACACACTGGGCTGCTGGGTGATGGTTTGAACCCACCAGCTGCTCTGTGACAGAGAGAGGTGACTGTGTGCATAGACTGACAGCAGAGAAACCCTGTGGGCACCTCCCTAGCCTGCAGGGTCGTCGTGTGTCCAGTGACGGGTGTGGGTGGACCACGGCTCCTTTAACCACTTGCCGTGGCAGGACGTCTGCGCAGCCTCGAGGTTCTGGCGAGTCCTTGCTCTTGGGCCGTAACGTGTGCAGGCCGTGGGCTGTCAAGCAGCAAGGGGCTGGGGGCTGCCCTGGCTCGAGGGTCCAGGGCCTCTCAGCCACAGGACCGGTGGGAGCGGTGCCAAGCAGGCCGTTCTGTCCACTCAGGCAGGGAGCGGGCTTGCCCAGAGGCGTGGGCTTGGAGCCCGAGGGAGGCCTGGTCCAAGGCCTGCACTGCGTTCTGGTCAGATGAGCTGCCGTGTGTCCGTGTGAACAGAAGTGTGCGGGAGGGGTGGTGGGCACAGTCGGGAGGGCCGAGGGGGCGGCGGGCAGTCAGGAACCCGCCGGACTCAGTGAGAGGAAGAGCAGCTAAAGTGCCCCATGGGGCTGGAGAAAGCCTCGGGGTGAGCTTCCTGGGGCAGGTGGAGGAGGCCCCAGGGGGACTGGGTTCTAGGCCAGGGCCGCGGGTGGGACAGGGACAGGAGGGAGGAGGAACGCCAGCCAGCCTTTTGCTAGAGTGTTGTCAACACAGTCAGCCGGGTCCTCCCGCCGCCCGCCTCACCCCTCAGCTCCTCCGTGGGGTTGGCCCGTGGGCCCCTCCATCCACTAAACAGCCCCCCATCTCTGGGAAGGCCACAGGGGAACCCTTGTCAGGCAGATTGAGTCCCCCTTTTGTGCCAGCCGGAGCCCTGGTGGTGGTGTGTGTAACGGCTGTTAACCAAAAGGTCAGCTGTTCGAATCTGACACTGGTCTGCTGGAGAAAGCTGGGCAGTCTCCTCCTGTAAAGGCCTCAGAGACCGCGAGGTCACTGTGACCGGAACCAGTTCTCGGGTGCTGGGTTTGGTTTCATGCGTCAGTAGGAGCCCTGGTGGCACAGTGGGTTACGTGTTGGACTGTTAACCAACAAGTCAGCGGTTTGAAGCCCCCAGCTGGCCCCATAAAGGTGAGATAGGAACCCCGCTATCCTTCAGGGTCACTGTGCATTGGAACTCCGGTGTCACAGGACAAAGAATGACGTGGTCGCTTCCATAAGCATTGCAGCTTTCAGAACCCTGTGGGCAGTTCCGCTGGGCATGTAGGGTTTCTGTGAGTCGGCCTGGCGTTGGATATGTGTCTCCCAGCCGAGGTCACTGAAATGAATCCACCCCCAGGTCACCACTTCGCCCTGTGATCTCTAAGCTGGGTTCTTAAGCCTGAGATGACATCATGCCAGCTGGCCCCCTCTCGTGCCGGCTGGCCCCCCTCTCGTGCCGGCTGGCCCCCCTCTGGTAACAGTGATCTCGCAGTGGTGGGCACAGGTCTGAAGCAGCCCAGCCCTTAATCGGTATGGCTGAGGCAGAGCCAGAAATGAGAGGGGCGGGAGCCAGGCCCCCGGGCCACGTGCTGGGCTTTGGGGCGGCCGAGGGCCACCCTGCTCAGATGGTCATGTGTGCTCTGCAGACACAGAACCTGCAGCTGAGCAAGGACATGACCCTCAGCAGCAACCGCAGCCTTGCCGAGGGGAACCTGCTGTACCAGCCGCAGCTGGACGCGCTCAAGGCCAGGCTCACCCAGAAGTACCAGCAGCTCCAGGCGCTCTTTGAAGCCTACCAGATAAAGAAGACCAAACTAGGTAAGTCCTCCCCGTCGCCACCAGGACAGGGTTGGCCCAGAGCCGTCAGGCGGGGACTGAGCGTGTGGGGCGACGGTGTCCTCTCTGTGGTGTCTGGGGATAACACCTGAGCGTGTTGGGGTGGTGACATTCTGTCTGGTGTCTGTGTGGGGTGACATCCGAGTGTGGGCAGAAGAGGCCTGAAGGAGCCTCTGTGAGCTGGCCTGTGTCCACTTAGATGGGTTTATGCAGTGCGGATATTTGATTCCCTGAATGGGATTGACCCATCAGCAAGGTGGAAAGGATGTAGGGACATGTAGGGAGTGTGGAGCCCCAGTGAGAGCCTCCTGGGGTCCTCTGCCAGCTCCTTGGGCCCCGGGACCTGCACCTCTCCTCCCAGCAGTGGAATGGTCGTGTGTGACGGGAGGGCGAGCCTGTCATCTCAGGGGCTGGGGTCACGGTGGGGCTGGCTGGACCCTCACCTCGTCCCTATGTCTCTCAGACAGACAGTCGAGCAGTGCCTCCTTGGAGACCCTGCTGGCCCTGCTGCAGGCTGAAGGGGCCAAGATCGAGGAGGACACGGAGGTAAGGCCGCTCCTGGGTCCCGGCTGGGTGGGCCACCTTCCTGGGACATGTGAGTCTAGGTGGGTGTCAGTCCAGCGGGCCCAGGGGGCGCTGGCCAGCTGTGGCCCGGGCATGTGGGCTCCAACAGGGGTTCACACTGATCACAGACTCAGATCCAGGGTGCTGGGGACTTTGCTCAGTGTCTGTCCAGTCCACAGCTGTCACAGGACAGGACAGGCTACCGGGAGAATGAACTCAGTCAGCCTGGCCTGGTCACTACGATCAGGCCACTGGTCTCACCCAGGGCATCAGCCAGGGGCAGACAAGAGAACAGGCTGCAGGCCTGTGAGCAGCGGGACAGGATAGGAGGCCCCTCAGCTGGGGGGTCTGGGCTAGGGGAGCAGAGACACCCTGTCCTCACGTGGTGCCTTCCCGGAGCGGCCCCCAGACCGACGGCAGGATCCCCTGCTTGGGGCTGCCCTTGGGCCCTGGGTGGTGAGGGTGCCGGTGCCTGTTAGTGCCGTCAGCCCCCGTGTCTTTCAGAACATGGCCGAGAGGTTCCTGGACGGGGAGCTGCCCCTGGACTCTTTCGTCGACGTGTACCAGAGTAAGCGGAAGCTGGCACACACGCGCAGGGTGAAGATCGAGAAGCTGCAGGAGATGGTGC